TCATATACGTACATACATGTATATACTTAAAGTTCAACTATAAGGTTGATATAGGTACGAGTGAGTTCTTGGAAATTGCCTACTGAAACTGTTAAACTTCCAAAGCGACAAGCTTTGGGGCAACTGATTGAATGTAATAAGACGTAAGAACTGCTATATTGCAGTCTTTAATACATAAACGACTTTTTTATTCTTATTTATATTAGATGTAAGTATGTACATCTATAATATTTTGTACATACATAAATGTAGATATACATATATACATACCCACAATATTTAATTTTATACATAGTAGATCTTAGTAGAACGCGCGATTAATAAGCTGTAGTAATAATACGAGTACCCTAATGATACTTGTTTTTGAAGCTTTTTCTAGAAATCAGTATGAAGAACGTGAACTCCATAGCGTTAACTTCAACAAAAAATATGTATAAAATAGTGGTAAAAAAATAAAAATTTGAGCTGCATATATACGAAACAATTTGTCTTTTTAAACGGTATTTTATTAAGATTTTCTTATTTCTTATAATAATGGATTTAAAATAGAGTTGGGTCAAATCAATGGTTTGTGTTGTAGCACTTTTGCCTTCAACAATTGAAAACTCTGCTGTAATACAGTCAGTATGTACAGTCTCTATGTATAGCTATCACACTATTAAAATTATTTTCATTCATATGCAAAACTATTTCTAGGATTGCATAATTTACCGTTAGCTTTTTGCGTTTATAGAAATTTGAAAAAGCTTCCGGTTTCGGAAATATAAGGTGTCAAAAATTAAAATTTTACAAATTTCAAGAGGCAATAACTTGAGATAGGTAGAGATGGAAAAAATTTTTCTTCTAACGAAATGAACTATTTGTTAATGTCCAAAAGCTCCTAAAATTTCAAACTTCTACAGGCTGGGGTCTAGAAGAAAAACAACATCAAAAATTTAGAAAAAAGGACTTTAGATAACGGTAAATTTGAACGGCCATTTTGTTTTTCTAAAGTTTAACTATAGTATACCGCGTAAGAGGAAGCAAGCCACTGCCTTTCTGCGTTTGCAAAATTTCAAAAATGCTTATGGTTTCATTGCAACAAATAGTTAAGAAAAGCCATTTTTAGGGTTTTGGGGGGGTATAACTTCTAGAGGGGGGGGGGGGGGGGGGGAGATAGGTAAAAATTTTGTTCTACGGAAATAAATTTCTAGTGAAGATCTATGTACGTGTTAAATTTCAGCTTTCTATCTTCAAGGGTATAGAAGTTTTGTAAGCAAAAAAAGTGTCCACGGACGGACGGACAGAATGAAACTAATAAGCACTTTTTTTCAAAAAAATTTTAGAACAGTGCTAAAACGAAAGTATAACGTAATATTATTACATCATATTGTGTATCTACCTTGAATAGGTACGTACTGTATAACAAAGTATGAAATTTTAAATTTATAACTATTGCTTTCATACATTCGAATGTTTTTACGAGTACCTTACTTTTATTAAATCAAAAATAGAACATGAAAAGTAAATTTTAAAAATAAACGGAATGGAACGAGTTGAACTACTTCTTGACAGATATACTTTGTTGTCAAGGTGCAGGGTATAATTCAGTCAGTTCAGAAACCCGAAATGCTTTTACTTGTTTATTTTAATGTACTGACAATTTTATTTATTTGTAGAGTTTTAAAAAATATGCTAAAGCGCATGCTACGATACCACGAAATATTTATATGTAAGATTTTTTGTAATAACAAAAATATCAATGAGTAAATATTCTGAGAGCTTTAAGATACCTGTTATATTATATTTTCGTAGAAATTATAAGACACCTTCACTTTCTTAGAAAAAAAGAAATTTTTAAAAATAAACGGAATGGAACGAGTTGAACTACTTCTTGACAGATATACTTTGTTGTCAAGGTGCAGGGTATAATTCAGTCAGTTCAGAAACCCGAAATGCTTTTACTTGTTTATTTTAATGTACTGACAATTTTATTTATTTGTAGAGTTTTAAAAAATATGCTAAAGCGCATGCTACGATACCACGAAATATTTATATGTAAGATTTTTTGTAATAACAAAAATATCAATGAGTAAATATTCTGAGAGCTTTAAGATACCTGTTATATTATATTTTCGTAGAAATTATAAGACACCTTCACTTTCTTAGAAAAAAAGAAATTTTTAAAAATGTTAACCTTTTTAATATGATTTGCTAGGAAATGTTGCAGTTTTAGTTTTTTGTACTTTTTAACAGTATATACTATATTTACATAGAATATTCTTTCACAACATTGAAAAATTGATTTGAACTTATACAATTCGTTATAACACATAATATCCCTATGTATGCACATATAATTTACGTATGTGGGTAAACCACAAAATAAACAAAACAAAATGAACATTTTGTTTAGGGAATGTTAAATGTTATATACCTATGACTCGTAATACCACAGACGTCCTTAGATAGTACATTATAGGAGTTTATGGTAATACCTAAATATGTTTAGAAAAAATGGGAAAATCTGTAAAGTATGCATATATTATTTAAAGAAACTTTTATATAAAGCAAATTAAAAAAATAAATAATTAAAGTTTCGGGTGAAAATGAAAATTTTTACTGCGATGAACTTTTTTCATAATAAACACAAATTAAAATTATATTTCAATTTATTTAAGTACTTTAAAATTTGGTTTTGAAAGTTAATATTTATTTTTTTTTAAATTCAATATCCACGAATCGTGTCCTTAATATGCATATGTATGTATGTATATTTGAATAATGCTTACGTGTGTTTCTGTACGTAGTACGTTCTCCTTTAATAATAATATTTTAGAATCTATGAGTATATATGAATGAGTACATAAATTTATATTAGTTTGCACGCTTTTATGTTACAATATTATAAAGTAAAGTTAAAAATTTTACAATATTTTTACCTTGTTCCTAATAGTTAATAACTAATAATCAAGAACATTTTCATATAGTGTGAAGATATGTATATACACAAACATAATGCATACATGATTTAAAAAAATTTTTTAATATTATTAGAAACTTTATTTGGCAAAAATAAAATTATCAACAATGCATATCAACTGAGAAGAACTTGCGATATGCCACCCAAGTCTTGAATCAATAATATGCTATCTAAACCCTTAATCTTTGACCTCCTAACAAAATCAAAGGTAAATGTATATATGTTTTATTTTTAAGAAAGTCGTTGTTCTAAATATAAATATGTAAAAGTATTCACTGGAAGTTTTTTTGAAAATTCAAACCTGTGTCGTTTTTTTTTTTTTAAATTTTTGATTTAAAAAATCTTTTTAAACACAAAATTTTAAAATATGTAGTTACGAAAATAAATGTTGCACAGGAAAAATTTTTTGAAGAAAAAAGGATGCTTCAGAATCAAATGTTACGAATCATTTACAACCCACTTTTGTACGCATAAAGATTTACACAATATGTACATACATATGTACATTTTTAGACCGTGAGCTCAAATGTTATTTAAGTAAAAGGAAGTGAGAAGAAACTCCTTAATTTGAGTTTTAAACGTATATGTTTGTATGTAGGTGTGTTAATAAGTATTATGACGTAGAGTAAAATATAGCAATATAAATTATTACTTATGTGTATATTATTACATCATTTTGTATAGAATTATTTTATGTGTGCGTACTGAAAAATTAGGGGTAAAAATTTCATATTTTATAGAATTCTTGTATTGTTTTCTTTGTATGTGTAAATCAAAAAAAATATTTTTATTTTAGCGTCGTATAACGTCAATGTATTTGTAAATAAAAAATTCAAGCTCCTGAATTATTGAAAAGCACACAAAAGAGTTTCGATTACCAGATTACCTGTTAAAAAAAAGTTCCAAAATTCAATATGAAATTGGATGCCGAAATTTTAAACAACTGAACTATATAATAATCAAACAATACATTTGATGATTATTCATAAATAAACGATGGTTTACAAACAAAAAGTAACCGCAGTTTTCATTATATGTATATATCTCGATATACTGCGTTTATGAAAAGACCTATAATATTCGTATTTTACTTCCGTGTATCGAATGTTAAAAACGCATTATGCATTATACATAATGTAGAAAAATTTGAAATAAGATCAGACTTAGCATTCTCCTTTTCTGAAAAAACCTGATTAACTTCTATCGATTTTCACGGATTAGAATTTTTAGCGCATAATAATTTACTAAAACCGTTTTTGTAAACAAACTAGTAGACACCGTGTTTAAAAATCCTTGCTCTTTATATGGGGAAATACTAATTGAATACAGCTATATATTATGTATGTTGTTTCTAGTCCAGTATAAATAGTGTATACAAAAATTATTATGTACTAAGGAAAAATATATGATAAACATACTTTTTTTATTTTCCCACATACCTACAATCATTTATATTAGGGAAATCAAAAATCGAGCTAAACTATAGAAAATATTACCATAAAAGTTGTTATATTTTTAATCATGTACAGCACATGTATACATATTTGATCTAATACTTTATCCGAATAAAAATTTTTAAAATGATTTAATGAATAATTTTAATTTTATTTTTAAAAAAAGCGAATGCATATGTACGTATTCCATAATTATGTATACATATGTATATGGGTGTATAAGCCCCCCATTAGACCGTAAAATGTGTGTGGCTGTAGTACATGTATGTATGTATGTTTATGATATACACCTGAATATTTTCATAATTCTCATTTTGACGAATAATCAACTATACATAGTATGTATGTATATCTTTTCTAGAAAAGATTTTCATATGATATATAGCTGCCACACAACACAATTGCAATATTTTTGCCACAAACACGTGTATGTATATATACATTAATACAAATATATAAAAAAGATTTTCTCCAAAACAACAACAATTTTATCGACAAAGAATTATATCCATACTAACAAAGTATATACACAATTTCAAACACAAACAAAAGAACTTACGAAAGTTTTTTTTTTCTGTCAACAGGGGTGGTATGTGGTTGAATTTTTGGCACCATGGATCCCAGTTTTCTTGCGAATATGGACCGGGACGCATTGAAAAAGCAAATCGAGAACATGAAATATCAGGCCACTATGGAAAGATGGCCTTTATCTAAAAGTATAGCAGAGTAAGTATATTAAATAGAAACAAAAATAATAACACAAAAAAAAAGCCAAAAGAAAAATGAAAAACAAAATCATAATATAAAAATATTATTTTTAAAATGAAAATTTCCTACCAAAACACATGAACGAAAATTTGTTTTAAATTTTTAAAAATTTGTTTTATTTTTTTTCCTTTATTATTTATATAAAATATAAGTGTTAGATATGTAAGATATGTGCATATGTACCTATATATTGTTTATATATCAAAAGTAAAATTTAACATATTAATCGCATTGCGATATTTTGGGCAACTTTGAAAAGTTAAATAAAGAAAAATGTATAGTTTAAGTTAATGCATATATTAGTAAGAAGTGAAAAACAGTGAAATTTGAAAAATTATTAGAAATTATGTGTCTTATAATATAAATCAAGCTTACAAAGTTACATTCATACATAGATACATATCTACATATATATAATATGGGGCTGCAATAATGCTAAATGAAATATAAGTAGAGGAATCTACTATATCTTTTTTGAAATAGCCCAGCTATCATAATAATGTAAATAAATTATATTTAATTTCCATTTAATAAAAACTTTATAAGTAGTCGACTTTTCATTCTTTTTATAAAGCATACGAAATATTCGAAAAAAAAAGAAAAACATTAAATATACATATAGAGTGCCTATTAAAACCTGTTTATTTAAAATTAAAATAGTTGAATACTGTTCTAAAAAGTAATATTTTATTTAAAAAAAAATTTCATCAATTTCAAAATTTTATGTTTCATATATTCATACATAAGTATGTATATCCTTGTATGTAATATTTGTATGCATATGTACATATGTGCCATCATGTATGTAAAAACGTAATGATGCCGATGTTTTTGTTTAAAATCACGTAATAGACTGTTGTTGCAATTGGTTTTATTTCAAAAATATGTAGCGTAAGTATATGTACCTAAGCATTTTTACGCGTTAAACGTCATATTACTTCACTATTTTGAAATTAAATCCAACTTTAGTATCAGTAAAAATTTGAATTGCATGTAATTGAATACTCTAACTTTTTTAATGACAACAGTACGTATTTTTTTATATAAACAGCCAATTAAGGTTATTTTGAGTTGGAAATTATTAATCAATTTGTTCAAGAAATGAATAATTAAGTTTAAATAATATTTTGATAACGTTTTATTTACATGCATTACAAGTAATTTATAATAATAACTTTCTTATACAGTATTCAGTCAAAAAAATATCGTATTAAATAAAATCGATAAAATATTTTAAGGAAATTTTGAGTGCAGCCAAAATAATAAAATGAAAATATAGTCAAATAAGTAACACATAATATAATTTTATGTGTGTGTATACGTGTGAAAACTTATGACATTAATGAATATATGAATAAATTGTTCTTCACAATTTGTTTTTCTTTTGACGACATTATTCGTATACACATGAAAAAGGAGAACACAAAATCGTTATTCAAAGTTAAACATAGAACGAAATATTAATAGCTACTAGCATTAACTAACATTTTAAGGGTTAAGAAACTAATATTAACGTTCATATTTTAGGAACTTCGAAATATAAAATTTGAAATTTACGCAACACTATTATAGTAATACATAGTATTAATAGATTGCCGACTGTATTTTTGTATAATAATTTTTAAAATGCTTTACATTAAACATATCTTAATTTTTAATTAAACGAAATTTATGAGTACTTACATAAATATAATTTTTTCTAAAATAATAAGCAATTTTTAATAAATCTGATGCTCAATATACGTCGTTTGATTCGGTTGTCACCCCAGAGTGGTAGTTATGTATATACAAGGTAATCATAAACTTGATGGATACCGTTCCAATAACTTTGTTGTCAGTGGCTGAAGTCAGACTTTCCGTTTCCCAGTAATAGCTGCTTCGACATGAAACTTTGAGTTGGAAAACTGAAATTTCGGAACAAAAAAGTTTGGAAGCTCTATTAACATCAACTTTATTAGATATAGAGCGATTGATAATTTGAGCAAGATGGGTACTCATAATATGTAAAAATATGTAAATGGGATGTAAAAAAGGAAAAGTTGTACAACAAAAGACATTTTGTTTTCATATGTTTCACATGAAATAGAACAATTTCTTTGGAAAGAATATATTAGGCCTCTTCAACATAAGAAATTCATTTAATTCAAATCCTTTTAAATTCTTTTGATTTAATATTTTTTTAACACGTGTAAACAAATTCAAACCTTTATTTTGGACCTATATTATATTGACTTTTGACATAAATTTACGTGCAAAAAATTTTTAATTTTTATTAGTTTCAATAAATCCGTCTATTCGTTCGTCTGATCGTTTTTTATCCGTCCATCTATCATCAGAAATTTATATCAGAAATTTTATTTTTCTAAAAGAAAAATAAAAAAGCCTCTTATCGGCTTTTAGATAATAATAGCTAATTTACATTTTCAAAAAATCACGCTCTTAAGTAATAGTCTCTCAAAATATGTAAAAGTACAATTCCCGATGCTTTATATTTCCAAAATTGGAAGCTTTTCTAAATTTTTATAAAAGCAAAAAATTAACACAAATTATAAATTTTTGTCTTAATTCACTTACTTAATCATTAAATTTGACTATTATGTTAGCTTTTCTATTTATACCCGTACGAACGTATGTTCGAAGGGTATACTAAATTTGCCTTACCGTTTGTAACGCTAAGAAATAACGATCTTAGATATAGACTCAAGTGCATGTTTTTGATCAGCGTCAAATTCTGAGTTGATTTAGCTTTGTCTGTCCGTCCGTCCGTCCCAACGATAACTCAAAAACTAATTGAGCTAAGTTCACCAAATTTTCACAAATGATTTATTATAGTAAGTGCCAGAACCCTATTTAAATTGGACATGATTGGGGTACCGGTTTGAGTAGCTGCCATACAACTTCAAAATTTATTTGGCTATATCTCAGAAACTATAAAAGCTGTGATTTTGAAATTTCACGCAAACGAATATATGAGTAGGGCCAATGTGTTTCACACAAGTTGTTGAAATTACTTGGCTCCTTGTGGTACCTGCCATACAACTTCAAAAGTTATTTGGCTATATTTTAGAAACTATAAAAGCTATGGTATTGAAATTTCACATAAACGAATATATTAGTAGGGCCAATGTGTTTGATGAAAGCCGTTAAAATTGCTTGGCTGCTTCTGGTAGCTGTCGTACAACTTCCAAAGTTATTTGGCTATATATCAGAAACTATAAAAGCTGTGGTATTGAAATTTCACACAGGCATATATATTAGTAGGGCCGATGTGCTTGATAAAATTCGTTAAAATTTCTTGGCTCTTTCTGGTAGCTGCCATACAACTTCAACAGTAGTTTGGCACACACAGTATTTTGAAAAACACATTGTACTGAAATTTTGCATAAATTAATATACGGCAACTTAAAGTTATAGTCTGTCTCATAGTCAGTTATGGCATCTTTATTCGCACATAGGATAACAAATTCGTACGGGTAACACAGCGTTGACAAGGTCAACTCTATTTTTTTCTCGTTTTATCTTATTTTCTTCACCCCAATTTGATGCAATAATTCGAAATTATTGGTAATTAATGTTATATTAAAGAAAGTAATTTTTAAACAAAGTATTTTCACTTATTCAAGAGAAAAGTGCTACTTTTCAAACCATTCCTTTGATTTTAATTTATTTTTGTCTCATGTTCAATATTAGATAAAAATTGACGAATATGTATTTTAATTTATTTAAAGTATCATAAAGATAACGAATAATTCACATAATGAATTAAGAAATGAAAAGATTGAAGTTTTGAGCTGAGGTTATTTACTGAAGTTAAATTACTATTTGTCAAGAGAACAAATACAGGTTATACAACAGATATATGGCATTGACTTTGCTTGCATGTTTTTGATGTCAAGGAATTATTTTCGATATGCGATTCCTTCCTTGTAAATAGGACTTCATCAAAAATATGTTTAATGCGCATGAGATTTTAAAATATAATTACCTTCTACTTACAACAGTTTTGTTTGAAGGTAATGTGAAAAAGTTTTGTGTTTTTCCTTTTTATTGGAACGATAAAGTAAAACATTATAGCTATACAATTATAACAGATGTTAAAAATTTAATATATATTTTTAAAACTGTGGGGCTAAATACCCTATCATCTCGTTAAATATTTTTGCCTTGTATTGTATATAACAATACGTAAACAATTCGAACAAAAAACAATTTCAACTTTTTATTTGTTTCAAATGTTTATTCAGTTTTTGCGACCCTTATAATATTTTTCCATAATTTCATTAAAACAAATATATATATTTTTTTGTAATCCTTTGAGACCCATTTATTTATACGAGTATAGTATTTTTTCAACTAAAATTTTTTGAGTTTACAGGAAAATTGTAGGTTAGATTACATAAATGTTTCTAATGTGATACGAATATAACCGAAAAATCAACTAAAGGGTTTACAAATTTAAAAGCAGATCTTAGGAATTTATCACACCAGATAAGTATGCCAATGAAATATATTCCGACAATTTCTGAAGCTCAATATTTCAAATAATACGACAAAAACATTACGTTTTTTTGACATAAGACATAAAAAGGTACATGCAAGTACCTACATACATATATAAACTTTCCCATATTTCAAGTTTTCCTATATTGTAGTTAATTCTATTTGCCAATTTTTTGAGCTATACTGAGCTATTCTATTTGCCAACTTTTTGAGCTATACGTATATAAAGCTTTAATTTGAAATTTTTATTTTATTGAAAAAATAATTTAGAAACCAGAGGACTAGCTCCCTTCCTGTTTATCATCGCACCATCCGCTTCATTTCGTTCTACTTTCATATGTCCCGTCAGCCAACGTATTGTGATCCGGTATTCCTTACACGGTTCATTGTGCTTGTAAAGACAGCTCCGCAACGACCTCATTGAATAAATTTAGTAATCCGATGACACCCTGACTTTCTGATATGGTTTCGATTTTTTTGTCTTCAATGTTCCCATTTAAGGTGAACCGCACGCACAAATTAAATACGCGCACATCCAAAACAAGCAACTCTGGCTTAATTAACGAAAAACTTCATAACTTGAAAAATGTTATTAAGTAGTACAAAAATTTATATTTAATAAAACTCTAGGTTGTTATAATGAAAAACTTATATTTTCTGATAACTATGTATTTTAGAGAAATTGTGGTAGACATTTATGAAAACAATACACTGCTTAAGTTATAAACTGCTGTAACACCGTATTAATAGGCAATTCGGCTTATAGCAGATGTTATAAGTTGAAAATAGCGTTAAATACACGCTTTGGAAGCAATGCAGATTTCATTGTTCTTTAACTTGAATTTTAACAACAAAGAACGAGTTTTCCTGCTTTCGCTCTTGCTAAGATTATCAATCGTTGGTCTTAATGTGGACAATAATAAACTTTTTTGTTTCATTTTAACTACTGCCGTTATAATACATGGAAAAAATAAATGCTTTCGTTGTTTGTTAAGAAATGAACTTGTTTAATTGATTTGAAGGATTTTCACTTAATATCAATTTCACTCTGATTCGAGCATTCCAATGTGGTATCCAAAGTTTAATTTATTTTTCTGTATAAATTTAAAATTTTGCTATAATTTGACCAATGACAAAAAATAGTGTAGTGCTTTAATTAATGTCAATGTATAATTTTTATTGCCGATCGCATAGCATACAATAAATGAAATATCAAGGCACCAAATTCCGCATGTTGACTTTGTGGTGGAATGACACTTCTCCATGGTAGGAAAACGTAAATATACTATTAGTCACGAGCTGTTGGTCCGCCGGTCTGTCGATCTTTCGACGGAACCGAATCAATGAAAATTTATATATGAGTTATCTTTGATTACATCATTTTGGGATATGTCGAATTGGACCTTTTTACATATTGGATCATTTTTAAGCAAATTAAAAAGATTAAATTAAAATTTTACATTTAAGTTTCGTTTGACAAACGATGGAATCAGGTTTCTGCACCTAGACTTTTAATGGACACCTCGACGGCACCTGAACTTAATTTTTTTTACGATTATCAGGACTCGAAAACCGTAGTATAGGAGCAGATTATACATTTTTTATTAATTAAAGAAATTTGTTCAAACATAATATTTAAGTTTCATATTCCTCTATACCTACTGCCAAATTTACATTTTTTAGGTGTAAAAAAGCTTTAGGTAAGTATAACCTTAATAACGTCCTCAGACATCTTTTTCAAGTCCTTATACATCTTTTTCTTTTCATACATTAAAAAAAACGTTCTTAGAATTTAAAAAGAAGTTTTTAAAGGGTATCTTCATGATCTTGTAGCAGTTTATGTCTATATACAAAGGATAATATAATAATGTATATAAAAAATGTAATTAGCTGTTTGACAGTTAAATATTTGTAGTTCAACTAACAATTTTAATTTTTCTTTTGAAAAGGAAATGTCACTTTAAATGTCAAATTATCAATTGTTTTCCAATATCGTATTTCAGTGCAAAAAATGTATAGTGCAAAAATATATAGTGCATGAATAATTTATGATACATATTAAGTTATTATTTATGTACTTTGGCAGTTCAATTGAAATAAAATGTTAATGCTTCAAGAAATATTAAAAAAAATATTATTATTGATATACATACATACATATGTATATTTTTTCGTAAATGAAACTTTTTTCATAATATTTAGTTTCATAAAATAAATTAAACTAATGAAATAAAAAGAAGTTTCTAGAAAAGACTTTTTTCACAAAATAATATAAAATAAAACGAAAGTTATAAAGTTAAAATAAAGTCAGTTTTTTTTTTAAATTCCTATTAGTATTAAATCTCAATCTTTCCTCTATATGTGCGTATATATCTTGTTCAAACTTTTTATTATTATTTATTCAAGTTGCTGTTACCTCAATTTTGGCCTATCACAAAACCTTCCTAAATAGATCCCAGGTAGGCGAAAAAAATTATCTGTGTTTTAGAAAAAAATTTGTTCGTGTGAAGTGGAGCGGGGACTTGGACGTCTTTTGATGTAGTTTTCAAGGGTTCCAAACATATATGTATAATAATATTCTATATACATATGTATCTTAATGAACGAGTTAGTTTAAAATCTGTTGTTAAGTTATACCAACTTATAATTTAAGTCTTCATATATATACATATAACATAGTTCCAGTACATATAGTTATATATTATATTATTGTTCTTTTCGTTATAGAATGAGGTCATTTGTTGAAGAAAATGAAAAAAATGATCCATTAATAAATGCCCCGGACAAAAAGAACAATCCATGGGCTGAAAAAGGAAAATGCGTCATCATGTAATATTTTTACAATTACAATAACAATTACTACTATTATAATAATAATATAAACAAACAATATATCGACAAAAGTTTATATAAAAATGATGAAAATAGTATAGCTATCAATTATACGAGTAATAGCAATAATATTGAAGAGCAACAAACAACAAAAAGTTTGCAAAATTTACAACCTCAAATTTTACAGCATAACAATGAACAAGAAAGTTTCCAGCTACATATAAATAAAGGATCACAAGCATTTAAAATTTTTAAGAATATGCTGAATCCAAATGCAACAACAACAATAGCAACCATTTCATCAATTTATCGACCAATAATCGTCTATTTTGTTACATTTGTTCTTTGGATATTAAAAAAGCTATGTAAAATTCCGTTTTCACAATAATTTCTCATTTTAGAAAAAAAATTCATGGGTGTCAGTCAGTGTATTTAATTATACTGCAAAATTAAATTATTCTATTATATTAAGATCATGTCATTTTGCCACAAAAAAATTAATATGCGTACAGCAACTCACTTTAAACTATACACAACAAATCTCTCTTAATTTTTTTGAAAACCTTTTTGAAGTTTTCAGTAATATTAGTTATCGTTATTCGGTAACTTAAGTCGGAAAAACAATTAAAAATATAATAATTGCAGTTAATTCAACAAATACATATACATAAAAAGAAAATCTGTTGCAGCAATTTGATAAACGAGTAAAATGCATACTGACCTACAATTAATTTTAATAAACAAAAATAATATTAAAATATATTACTTTTAATATAAAAATATATTTATATTATATTTACGTACATTTTAACATAAATTATACATTTTAGGTTTATAATTTAAATAATTTTGAAAGTAGCAGCTAAATAACTAATAGTTATGACAAGTCATTTTTTCGAACTTAATGTAAAAATTTCCAAAATTTTTGAGCAAAATTTTGTTTCAAAGATATTGCCAATATTATAAAATGCTAAAATTAGTATAATTAATCTAAATTAATAAAACTAAATTATTAAAAAACAGTTAAAATATATTGCTTTCTTTAAAATTGTAATACTTTTTGAAAAAAAATTAATAAATGTTACCAATATAATTAGGTATTTTATGAAGCTCTTTTACTCTGGACAAAAAAAATCGGAAAGAAAATTTTTTGATATATATATAGGAACAATTAAGTTTGCTGAAATAATGCACTTTTTTATAATTAAAAGATACTTATCATATATTGTTTTCAAATAGAGCGTACGTAGTACTATAATTGTTCAATACTCCAGAGAGATCAAATACATACATATGTATATATATAGTATGTATAATTTATTTTATACTTAATATTAGATATATCGAACAAATCGATTAGTTATATCGGCAACCCAATGTAGTTTTTCTAACTATAAAATGAAAATAAAAAACGAAAGTCTGTACAATTCTTGAAAATTTATATCGAATTTTTGCTTTTTTGTATAACTATAAATTTAAAAGATAAGTAGAATATTTTTCATTTGCTAAAAAATATCAAATACAAAACTTTCAACTAGGTTTCTATAAACATACTTATACATAACAGTATTTTAATTTAAAAGAGAATTAAAATAAGAAAAGCAAATCATAAATGCATAATAACCTCTTAACGCAACTGTAAATTTTACTACTATTAAAAGAAAGATCAACTATGTACATTTATCTTAATATATGTATGTATATTAACATTTAGGAAATTAAATAAATGCAAACCACAAAATTTACATTATAAAAAGTAAAGAAATTGTAATAAAGTAATATTAAAATATAAAAACTATAAATTATATAACAATAAAAAAAATTAAAACAATCAAAATACCGTTTTTAAAGCGGTTACTAAAAAGTAAATTATTTTTGCATTTACATAAAAGTATGTATATTAGTAAATTATTGTATTTATTGTAGCATTATCCTTATAAAAAATATTTCTGGAATAAATATTATGGAACTTCTGTACTACAAACTATTATACATTTGCATTGAAGTTACGCATTATAACGTTAACATTAAAAAAGTATTTTCTTGCTTTTATGAAATAGAAAAAGATGGCTATAATTATAATAATGTATTTAACAAATTTAATTTAATTTTATTTAACGAAAAAAATGAGAAAAAAATAAAAAGTTTTTTTCATAATGCTTAAAGATAGTCAAAGTTTTTTTTGTCTCAATATGTACTAAATTTTCCATACCTTTTTGAAAAAAAATTGCACTGAAACATCTTTTACAGAATTATAGCACTATAACATATTGATTAACTTTTTAGTATACATAGTTAAGTAGTAATAAATTTAATGCTGTAAATATATGTGAGTATATATGTTTACATATATTTCTTTACATATGTTATTTTAACCTAATGTTAAAAACATAATAAAAAAACATCAATGCAAATAAAAATCGCAATTACTTAGTGTTAAATATATCTGAAAATTTAAAAAAAAGTCAGACAGAAAAGTTGAACAAAATGAGTTTCGCTCATATTTATGATAAGACTCATTATTCCCGAGAACTAACGCAATTTATAATAAGGAAAAGAAAATTGAAGCCAAGTAATATAAATTTACTGTTATGTAGTAAAGAACAAAGTGTCACTTAACTTGTAGGAAAAGATATACTCACCCTATAAACAATCAAAAGAAAAATTACAATATAACGAATAACTGAAATTTCTAGTTGTACTTTAGTTTACTTTTAAAAATAAAATTTTTTAATTTATACTAAAAATAATAATCAGTTCCTTTAAAAATATGATAAAATTGAAATATAAAACACATACACATAAATATACAAATTACATAAAATTATCGTGTAACATAACAAAGAACTAAAAACAAAATTCTTATGAACTTAACGAATTTTTGAAATATAAAATAAAAATTAAAATAATATACTCTATATCTTAATATATTTACAAATCATCATATATTTTACGTATAAGATATATATATATATATATATATATATATATATATATATATACATGGATGTATGCATATGGCTATGTATATACATATGTATATATGTTTAGTATAAGCATACTAAGTATATATATATATATATATATATTTAGTGCATACATATATACGTACATAGTGCATACATATATAAGTGATATTTTCTAATAACAAAAGAAAAAAAAATCGTTAACTTAATTTATGCAAATGCTAATATATTCATTACGTAACTAAAAAATTTGCATTGGACCAGTCATTTTATATATATACATATATATATATATATATATATATATATATATATATATATAGAAGTTTTTCTTTTTATTGTAATTTGTTCTCTTTTTTAGGTTTTTATATACATATTGCAGTCACTAGTACAATAAAATAAATGCTTATTACCTTCTTCAATAAAAATATTAATAATGTTTCTTTCCTGTAACGGACAAATTTTTAATCGGAATGGTGCTTTTATGGACAAGAAAAAAATCTTTTCTCTAAGTATATTTACATATATATGTATATACATGTTGTGTATATGGTATAATACATAAATTCATCACAATGGAAAAGAAAAAATCTTTCAGATATATATATATACATATATATATATATATATATATATATACATGGCGTAATATATAAATCTTATATAATATATACTTACTGATATTTCTATTGTTGGTGAATTTTTATGTTAATATCAATATATTAAACAATATAATTACATATAATGTACTTACTTGTGAGAGCATAAACAAGAATTTATTTTACTTTAAAAATAGTGTATGGCAACAATTATTAAGTCTATGTGCCTGCAGTACAAGTAGAAATTTTAGGTGCTCCTATAAATCACTCTCTAATATTTTTAATTACGTTTTATGTTATTATGATGTTTTTGAAATATATGTATATACACAAACACATGCTTATATGTACGTTTTTTATCATATTATTTATCTAGTTATTCATACACTTAGTTCATTCAATATGTTTTCATTAATTCAATTTCTTAAACGAATAATTCTGTTTCGTATTACTTTTAAAATATTAAATATAAGTATATATTTATTTTGGCTAAACCTATTTGAAATCGTTTTAAATATTATATGAGCTTTAATTGAAAAAGGTAAACACAAAACCCAATAAAAAGCTCAACAATGTATGTACATTCGTACATGCATATAAATTTTCTAGAAAATTTTGCAATTAATTTTTCAATAAAATAAAAAAAGAGACTAAGAATTAATTTTTTTTTTTGTATTATAAAAAATTAAACTGAAGTTATAATAAAATTCCTTGACTTTCAATATCAAAATCGAAACAACTTAAATATTTACATATATATGTATATATATGTATGTATATATGTATAAAACAAATTCCCTCCGAATATATGAAAATTGTAAAAATTTCTCATCACTTTTAAATTTAAAAATAAAATACTAGTTTCAAGAACATTATTAGTTGAACATAGTATTTTTTCACAATATTCTAAACATACTGAAATTCCAATCTAAAATGAATTAAAATGTCCAATATATTCAAATAATAACAAACTTATGTTATAATGAATTTTTGTTAAAGAAGCTCAACCTTTCATAAAAGTGTTTTCTTAGAAAAATTTATATCACCGGCGACAAAATATAAATAAAAAATAAAAAAAATTATGTATAATTATGCACAACAAAAACATTATACCAACGATAGAGCATTAAATTCTTTTAAATTAAATAAGAATTTTATTTAATTTAATTTCAAATTCACTATTAATTTCAACTGGTAATTGATATTATAAAATTATATTGGTATTATTGATAAACTGTATTAAGGATAAATTCATATAACTATACATATTTATATTTGTTTAGAATTTTTACAACATATTAACATGGACTATAAATTATTTTGTAATGTACTTATGATATTGTTAAAAAATTCTACATTTAAATTTCGCTTGTTTACTTATACAAACACTTTGAATCAATTGACAGTTAGAAAATATTTTAAGTTTCACAAGTAGTAACAAAGATAAAACAAAGTAATTTAATCTTATACATATTTTTAAAAATATGGATATAAATGCCCAATTTGCATTTTGATTCATATTTTTTAATAAGTTTACAGAATTATAAGCACATATAGAATTTTTCTTCATAATCTTTTCATGCAGTAAATATTCATCAATAAGAATATTATTTCATACTGTGATATGAAAGCCTCCAATCACTTTAAAAAAATTACTAGGAAAGTTTTAATCTTTACTTTGTTTAAATAAAATAAACTTATCATTATTAAGAAGTAATACACAGGAGAATAACTCTCTTCTTATTTGAAGTTTTTTAATTTAATTTGTTTCCTCATAAAAAACAAAAACTGAATTATACGACATAAAACAAATAATATAGTTATGTACATATATATACACATATATGAAATAATATAACATTCAAGTATGTGTATAAAATTTTAACTAAGTTACAATATATCATTAAAATTCATTTAAATACTCATTATTCATAAAAATATAATTTTAAAAACAACGTAGCTTTTACATCAATATCTACGTTTTTATATTATATAATATATGTAAAAATCAATTCTACATTCGATTTTAAGTAATACGTACGTTTTAAAAATTGTAGTAAGTTAAAAATCCAAAATATCACATGAAAATGGAAATAAAATTGTAGAAAAGCATTATTAACACAATTATTTGAATTTATTAAATAAGATATTTTTAAATTGACAAGTAATTAATTACCCGTTTTTCAGCATAAATAATTAGAATAAATATATATACATATATTAACACAATTTTAAACTAAGTATGTATTGTAATTAAAATAAAAAATTAAATGAAATAATGAGTTTTGTTTCTTAAAATATTAAAATAAATGAATGAATAATTAATTTAAAAAAAAAAATGCATTTTATTTAATTTTTTTCTTTAAAATATATATAGTATATATAAAAATCTGTGTATTGTAAAAGATTTTGAAAGTATATACGCTGTTAAAGTAATATCGCAAATAAAAATGTACGAAAACATCAAAAAACATTAAAAAATAGGGTCAAATTAGAAAAAAAAAACAAAAAAAACTGAAGTAGGAATATTTGAAAATAACTAATACATAACTTTAATTATAAAGGAATTATATTAAAAATAAACAAAAATTATCCAAAGTTAAATTCGTAGATTTATTTTAATTAAAAAAATAAACACCATATGCATTGAAAACCAAATATAGTTTTTAAGGAACGTTTATAAGTAAAAATTTAATTTTAAAGTACAATTAAAATTAAAGACCATTAGTTAATATAAGTACATTCGTTTATGCACATATATATAAATAAATATATATATATATATATATATATATATATATATATATATATATACATATATATAAAAATATATATATATATATATATACATTAAGCACCCTGCATTGGTATATATGAATATATATATATATTATTTAGTGTGCTTATATATATATATATATATATATATATATATATATATATATATATATCTAATTATGTATATGCATATTAGAGAGTAAAATGTAGAAGCAATTTTAATTTTTAAAACAGAACATTCTTCATAATTATATGAAGTAAAATTTAGATTCACTTAAAGTATGTATATTTTTGAAGCACAAGAAATATTTAATTATAACCAAAAAAAAATATGAAATTTAACACAAATAAAATAGAACAGTAAAAATCTGCAAAGTGTGAGAAAATATTACAAAACATTCAATACAAGTTAATGTTGTTTACTAAATAAATAACTTGTTAAAAAAAAGTACAAGGGGGTTA